TAAGCAATCTTTTTTTTATTATTTTATCAAAGACTAAAAGTTTATTGACCATTTTAGCAAAAAATAGGTCAAGAGTAAAGTAATTCTTATTTTTATCTCCTCTGGTTTAGTTTCTTTAACATGTATCTCATATATGTAAATTAACTAATTAATAAAAAGATAGAGGATAAACCTCTTTTTTTTTTAAAAAAAAATAAACAACTAGTTGTATTCTTACTAAATTTAACAAATAAAATTAATGGGTAACTAAATGATTAACTTTTATATAGTAGGTAACTTTGTTATTTGGTTGTATTTAACAAAAAAAAACTACAATCTTGTTACATTATAAATTTTTCATAAGAAAATCTTTGTCTTTATGTATAATAATTTATATTATAATTACTCATAATTTTTATAATTGCAAAAAATATATTAAAGGACAAATTTAATTGTAACAACCTGTTACGCACTTATTTGTAACAACTAAATTAGTACAAACAATAAAAATAACTAAAAATTCGTATAACCCAAATCCTAACTCTAATTACTATTGGCTAATCTGAGATTGTTACATGTAACAAGTTGTTACGAGAACATTTATTTTACGTATATTAATAGATTAGAATTTAAAATTTTGATTTTGATTTTATTTTAGCATAAGTGTATTTAGAATCAATGTAGGTGACTCCGAATTTAGAAAGATTCGATTTTGACATGCAACATATATAAATATATAATAAATGCTACTAGTAATTTTGTAGTAATATTTTTAAAAATTATTAATTAACTAGATTTATAAAACTATCAATTTTTATATACTTTGTTATTTTACCTACCGGTATACAGTATAATATACTTTTATATATAATGCATGCATTATATTGTATAAAGAACGATATAAAAAAAACAAACAATTTTTAAATATATATGTTATATAGTTAAGAATTATAATATGTTAATAATATTTCAATATATACTTAACCGTTTTTAAAATAATTTATTGATTTTTTTTAAAAAATTAAAATTTGAAGAATATACCAATACAATTTAATTAAATAGAACCAAATAAGTTATTTAATTTATGACTAGGGATGAGTCAAAATTCCGTCAAACAAAAATTGATCCGAGAGCTAAGGCTAACTCAACCTAATATGGAATAACTTATTTTGATTTTTTGATCGGCTTTCTTTATAACTTGTTAAATATATACGTATAAAAATTTTTGTTTACGAAATAAGCATAGCATTCATAATTCTTTTTTGCATCATTTTAATTTTATATGATATCTGCTTGATACGATTTGTGTATTAAAGCTAAACTGAATAAGTATAAGTGATCGACTGACTAGTACGTTATCCAACATTTTATATGATCATGTGAAATTTTTTTTTTGGCATGGTATTTTTGGCACGAGATTATGTAATCATTTGTGCAAACTATTACGGAAAAAACTTTACACGAGTTATATCAAACATCGGATAACATCAAAATAACATCAAATAACATCAAATATTTGTGCATATAACACATAATACGCAGAAATTTTTTTTTTTACATTGGGAATTAATTTCACTCATATGCTACGTGGAAAGTACATTAACTCCGATGAAAAAGAATTATATATTAATCGAATATTAATTAATATTGTGTGACAAATTGGTGTCACATGATATAAAATTTCGACCAATTCCAAATCTAGTTTAGATTATGACCAATTATAGAATTTAATAAAAGCCTTTTGAGATTCTATCGAGTCACAAACTACCGGGTTTTGGTTACATTCCAATCGTATTACCTTATTTGAGAATAATTTTAGTCGATCCGATTTGATTTTACGTATTAACCAAATATCAAAATCTATTATCATTACCTACATAATCTATAAGCTACGTACGTATGTAAGTACATATAAATGAATAAATCAAAACTATTTTGTATATAAAAAAAAATTGAAATATTTTTATGGCCAATGCAGTTACACGAAATATATAATTATGTGATTTGAGCAAATCAGACTTTGTTAGGGCTGGCACAAAGTGACAAATGATAGTGATATTTACAAAAACAATCAGATTAGTGGATATATATTATGCATTGAAGATACCAAAAATTTCACAGATCAGCTTGCAAAATACGAGTAATTCTAATATTAATATGGCATGGTAACGCCATATTGGTAGGACTCGATCCGTTGTAATATGTTATAATAATAAAACTTATTGATGAAATAAAACCGAATAAGTTGATGACATCCCTGCTTATTAGCATTAGAAACACAATTGTACCACAGTAATACGGTAATAGGGAACATATGCATAGTTACCGAGTTATCTGGCACATACCCGGAACTTGAATGAATTGGAGTTGGCATTACGAGTTATTTTTAGTGTGATCTAATCTAAATCTATAGTACAAATGTTTTAATCCAGGCGTAGGTATATCAAAGGTGTACGCCATAAAGTTGAGTAACCGTAGATAACGTCAAAATCCGATTATAACAAATAATATAAAATACGGGAATATAAAGTGCATACGTACGTGCATACGTACGCACTTACGTATGTACGTACGTACGTATGTACGTATAATATATATCAGATATATATATATATATATTCTTTTTTTTTTTAATCTGATATGTTTATTGAATAAATTAAGGAAATTTTTTTTTTAAAAAAAACATTTGGTACGTATCTAGTGCTGTAGTGATATGAAATGATGCAGATAGTTCAAATATTTTACCATAATAAAAGTTTATATCTCACAATAAAAAAAAACAAAAACTTGATTGTAATGAAGTTGAATTCAAACCAAATTATTAACCGAAGCAAAGGAGTAGAATTTATATTTTTATCTTAAACATGATCGACATAGCGATAATTATCTTTTTTTTTTTCGTTTCGTCAGAAAGTCATGTGAGATTTAATCTATTGACCAATAAAAATTTAAACAAATTCAAATGAATTGCTAATTCGTGTTACACAGAGATATTATTGTTAAATAAAGATAGGAAGGAATATTTTCAGAATAAAAATTGCATGGTAATTCATTTGAATTTTGGCTAGCTTTACAAAGAAATATGGCGGTGCATTGGCCCGTGCGGAGAGTTGATGCTGAGTACATAGGTACGTAGGTACGTACGGGAAGTACGGTACGGTACGTACTTACTTGGAATCTGGAATCCAATACGTAATTATTTAGTAGATCTTTTCTAATTAAGTAGTCACCAGACCACATAGGTAATGAGGATAACCGAGGAACAGCATCATACTAACCATACGGATAATGACTCTGTTGGACAAACAACCTTTGTGATTGGAATTTATGAAATTAATAGAAATATTCCGAGAAAACAATTGCAGAAATATTTTAACTAAAATCAGTACTTATGTCATATTTACTTTAGCAAATGATATTAATCTAATGGCCGTGTGCTGATGGTTGAATATCAACAAACCCCACAATTTAGCCTTCACACATTGATGTAATGACACATGCTAGAACCATTAAATAACAAAGTGTAACAATGGACTCAAAAAAAATTTTTCCTTGTTACACTTTTTTAAGCAAAATTAATCGAAAGAAAGATCTTATTAATAATAAAGTACATATATAGAATTATTTATTATAGTTCGTAATTAAACTCATTAAACTGAGCCATAAAGATGAAATCAAATTAAATTTTGTATGAATGTATGCAGCTTAGATTTCTACGTACGTACAAACGCAAAATCTCGGAAGTCCTTTCGCCACAAATATCTTAAAATGGACAACACACTTATTAATAGGATGAGGCGCAAGTTGTTATAGTAACATAATATTCTAGCCTAGCCATAGTGATTCGATCTTTAAATACTAAATGGAATTCTGGCAACAAGAAGGTTTTTTATATTATGAATATAATCGGATCGTTTGATGATAAATGCTACGTAGATTTTAGTTGGTTGTTAGTTGATTGTCAGTTAGTTGGTTGTTAGTTAGTTAGTTGGTTGTTAGTTAGTTAGTTGATTAGTTATTTGTTAGTTGGTTGGATATTAGTTGGTTGGTTATTAGTTGGTTGGTTGTTAGTTGGTTGTAAGGGAGGTTCAATGAGCATATATAACTCAAACAAAAAGGGTCATATAAGTCATATGACGCATCTTGGAAGAATCTTTTTGAACGCTGAATCACAAGAAAATTCGATTCACTTGATTCACTTGATTCACTTGATCAATATGATCAATATTTATTAATATAATATTTATTAGTTATTTTAGAGAAAACATTAATTATTTAGCAGTTACACAATGTTATTAAAAAAGGATCTGTTAAACGTTCTACAAAGCAGTTCATTTTTGAACGCCATTCTCAGTTGGTATGTTTCATGTAGAATTTACACATTCGCAGCACGTTCATGGTGGTAATATATTCGTGATACAATTTACTGTAATACCGATACGTATTAACGTTAATGCCTAAAATCAGTATATCACTTGATCTCTACCATTAAACATTATAATAAGTATGACATCAAAGTAAGTTCATATACTACTGTAGTGAAACAAAAAACGGATGTATAAAAATTATGGAAAAAAATATTAAAGCAACTTTGAAGTAAACTATTACAGATAAGGAAATGATACTAATCCGTAAAAGAGGAAAAAAAAAATTATAAAAAGAAGCGGTAGTTAGTTTAAATTTTTTGAGTTCTTAAAGAAAATTCTTGAGGTTTCTCCACTGTTACGTTAGAACTATATGTTTCATGAAATCCACATTCAAATAATAAAATAATATATAGTATCTTCCATTCTCATAGTATTTTCACACTACATGCTAAAATCCTTTAGATCTCAGGAATTGAAATTGAAATATTAGCGTGTTTTTACAAGCTAAAAAAACAAAAAACGAAATATACTCTTTAAGAACCATTTTAGATACCTTATCGTGCAACAAGAATTCGACATTCCCTTCGGTGACGACTTACGACTTATCACATTTAATGAAAATCAATCTTTGTCTATAATAACATGACAAATATTATGACAGCGGCATTTGCCATTAATACAATTTCTGAAACGACACCATCTAAAATTCCAACAACAATAAAATCATTAGTAGTTGACGATAATTTAATAACTGGTAAAATCCTTTCGAAGATTCTGACCAAAGAATTCAACCATCAAGTAACATTTGTACCGAGTGGTAATGAAGCTTTGAATAAATTGTCACAAAATATTTATGATCTTGTATTTATGGATATTGACATGCCAGAATTATCCGGTGTTGAAACTAGTATTAGAATAAGAAATTCGAATAATATTATGGAAGAAAACAGAGTTGTCCCTATATTTGCTTATACGACTAACAAATGGGATGAAAAGTTTTTAAATGCTGGCATGGTAAGCATTAGTCCTTGATTATTATTTTACAAGTTATTTTCTTTTTATTATTATTTATCATTATTATTTACCATTATCATTTACCATTATTATTTATTATTATTATTATTATTATTATTTTAGAATGGATATATCGGTAAACCAGCAAGCTTAGATAAAGTTCAAGCTGTAATTGAAACTGTTTCTCGTCGTTAAACTATTAAAACAGATGTTTAAATAACAGACTAATTAGATAGAGCTTGTATATATTAATATATTCTGTAAATATTTTTATTATTCGAGAAAAGAAATTTTGTTTAGATTTTTTTCCAGTTATTACAGTTATATATTTTGCATAGGCCACTCTTTTTCTATTCGGGAACTGACTGGTTCATGTTCCAATCTCCGGTCCCGATCTTCCATTTATGTTATAGTTTAATTGTATTACAGTAATTACCTTCCCTGAAAAATTTTTTAAGATAAGGTTACGTATAATAGAACTACAATAATTATATATGCTATTAGTAATTTACCTATGAACTGTGTATATAGATATTATATGTATGTATATATGTATACTTAAAAAAAAAATAAAAAAAATGGTATACCGTCCATTAAGTTTTACTGCGTAACATTCTATCATTGTTGCATCAAATAATTAAATACGAAAAGATATTCGGCCGTCTCACATTTGAGTCCCTATCGCTATAACTTTACTAACAAATTGATTTATATAAATGAACTTATTTTTTCTTTATTGCATTTTTTTTTTCCTTTAATAGTTTCCCACACGGCTTCATTTTCCCACATCATTTATTCTTTTTTACTTCATTCAAAGTTTCAGAATCATTATGAATAAATAAGTTTGGTTAAAATAATAAATAGTTTATTTTAAACTTTATTAACTTGTAATAGATATATTCAAATTCAAACCATTCATGTATTAAAAATCTGCGTTAGAAGATTTCACATTATTAACCATCATCACACAGATCATTTTACAAATCAATATTTACCAACATTTAAATTTAAATATTGTTGTAAATAGACAATGTGACAATGACAATGACACGCTGTTAATTGGGCGATATACCGGAGATAAACTTATTAAAGTATGTTACCTTATTAAAGTATGTTACGTTAGTACATAGCATATAAACAAAAAAAAAATTTTTTCCCCCTTTATTTAAAGATTCTGATGTTTGATCCTTTCCTTATTTAAATTAGCTTTGTCTACTTATGGTAAGATATCCGCATAATAAGGATCAAGGCTCCAAAAAAATCTGGGTACATAAAAAAATGATTTACTACGAAAATGTTTTTTTTTCTCCCTATTGGTTTATAATTCTACCTTAAATATATTACATAATCGAAAATCTTTGGTCCTCCGTCATTTATTTATTTATTTTATAAAACTTTTATAATAAAACTTTTATGGGGCTGTTTGTTTGATTACCAATACCTCTCAATAATCACTCCTTGTTTGATCACCAATACCTCTTAATAATCATAATCATCACTTCTGTACTTAGCATTCATTCCTTATTACAGTTTAACTAATATTTTAATTTTCGTTACTATCTTGTATATTTTATAATTTTCGTTATTATTTTATGATAAAGTTTGAAATTTATTCGGTCATCTCCGAGATTTAACCTAATAGTAATGCATGTCATTATTGTGGCGTGCATATATCGTGGTCTATCTGCTATTGCTATGAATAATATTACTACATACGTATAATCTTAATAATTCTACATATCGATTTTAATATCGTTATACGTGTCGTTATGCCGTTATGCCGTTATGTCGTTATGTCGTTATATCGATATCGTTATAATCATTTGATCATAAATAATCCTTTTGAGTTCGAGGTGCCTGGAATACAACTTGTTTCAAATGATTACATGTGACGCATTAAATACATCTTTAATGATTTTGTGCTCAATAGTTAATTGATCGAAAATGAAAAATAAATAAATAAAATAAAATATATAAATAAATCCACTTATTAATCTTTGATTCATTTAAATTATATTATATATTTATATATATATATTATTAATGTATGCTTTAATTTTATACTGTAATAACAACACTGTATATCTTTTTTATCATTCTACTACGTAAATAAACTTCATTCGATTTATAAATTCGTCTATTATTTTTATTTTTTTTAAATTTCGTGACTGAAATGATTTGGCAGGTGATCTCATTATGCCGTGTTTCGTATAATTACGAATAATATTTTCACATGTTAAATATATTTAGGTAATAATCTCTTTGGCGCCTATGTACATCATTTCAAATTTATTACCAAATATCAAGAGAACTTGTATTTCCACACCCTCGTATATGACGTAAAGAATAACAATATGGTTAAAAAAAAAAATACATGTGGTCCAAGGATGTGGAAGACAAGTAATTATTCTCGGTAAAATCAAGTAATGATTTCAAATCATACGCAGTAAAATGATGTCAAATCATACACGGTAAAATAATGATATCAAATCATGTTTAGTAAAATTAAAAATACTTGATATTACTTGATATTTATTTTTTAAATATATTACTTGTTTATTAATTTCTTTTTATAATTATATATATATTATTTGTTTATTTATTTCTTTTTATAATTTTATATATATTTTGTTTTTAATTTTTAAAAAAATATTTGTTAATTTGTAATTAATATTTAATTAACTAACTCAATTATAAAATTTTATATAATAAAATTTTTTAAAATTTAAAAATATTACAATTTAAATTAATTTTAGGTTTTTAAATAAATTTATTAATTAATTTATTTTATTTTAAATGTTTTTTTAAAATAAATATATTAGGGGGTTGGGTTCCATAGCTTACTTGTTAAGCTCTTATCCCCTTACAGACAAGGTTAACAGTTCGAGTCTGGCTTGAGATAAAAATACTCTATAACCAAAAATGAAACCTATAATCAGATGCAAAGCTCTGTGAAAGTCCAAGTAAAGGTACATATTTGATTTAAGGAATTCCCAGAAGGAAACCAGTATGGCAGAGTGTGAGCATTACTATAGTGAGAAATGTGAAGAATGTCATCAACGTTTGTAGAAAAGATTGGCCTTACCTAATATGGAATTATCTCTGACATCATAAATCTAAATAGATGTAGTTGTGGGATCTACTTCCATTTAGTAGAGTTTGCATTAAAGATAAAGTAGCCCTAAGGTCTGTTATTAAAAAATTAAGTTGGTACTATAGAAAAAACATTGAAAATCAGAGACTTTAAATAGAGAACCCACAGGTGGATTTCAGATATAGCAATTAGTAGGTAATCTATAGGTGAAATCTTTAAATAGACAATGACTAAAGTTGTACAAATGGTTAATTGTAGCCTCATTGATATGCAAAATGTAATACCCTCCTACAATATTTGTAGGTTGGGAGTCTTAATAAAAGATCACAAGCCATAAACATTGCTCTTTAAATCTGAAAAAAAAAATAAAAAAATAAAAAAATAAATATATTATAATTAAAAATTTACAAATATTTATATCTAATATATATATATTTTCTTAACCAATTATATTAGTACTTTATTAAAATTCTTAAAATTACTTTTGCAATTATATAGATATATCTAACAACTAAGTTTAGCATTATTTAGTTATTTTAATAGTACCTAAGTGCAATTTGTTACATTATTTTAAACAGAAATAAGCTATTTATCTGATTACTTAAAATTTGTAATAAAAAAGTCTTTTTCTTTTTATAACAAGTTCTAATATTGTTTTTTTAATTTTTTTTAATTCATTTTTCTTTTTTTTTGTCTTTTTTTCTTTTATTTTTTGTTAATTTATTTTTTTTTTTACTTAAATCTTTCTTCTTTCTTTAAATTTTTTTTTAAGTTTTTTGCTCTATTTTATCTGTTATTTTTATTTCTTTTTTTTTTATATTTAATAAAATTTTAAGACAAAGTTTTAGAAATAAGAAAATCTAAAAAGATTATCATCAAGTTTATCAATGATTTTAAATACATTAAAGGTATAAATAAAGTCAGTTTTTAATATTATAAGTATAATAATCTTAAGTTTTTTGATAATATATTAGTTTGCTCAATTAAAGTATAACTTGTTAAATTTATTTTTTAACTAAGTAATAGTTGATTTAAAGATTTAGATAATGTTATAATAGGTGATGATTCTGACTAAGATTTGTGAATTGCTTATTTAAGAAAAGATTTTATTTAGTACTTTTTTAATATTAAAGTTAATAATTTCATTGTTTGTTATTGTAAATTTAAAATAGATTTTAAGATAGCAGTAAAAAAAATAAGATATACATTTTAGATTAGTAGATGTATTATTTAGTTAAATAAAGTTTTGTTCAAATTAGTTAATTAGATTATAAAAATCTTTAAAAAATAAAGATATATTAAATATTATTAAGGTAAATGTAAAAAAGTTTAAAGGTAAATGTATATATTATTAGATTAGTATAGTAATAAAAAATTATTTAAAATAATAAAAGTTAGATTATAAATATTATAAATTATTTTTGAATCAAAAATTTTATATTTTTCTAAATTGATGTAAATATATATATATTATATTGCTGTTTTAGTAACATAGTTTGTATAGTTTTAAATAAATCAAATAATTGGTAATTTAGATTTTTAAAGGATTAACTTTTTGTATTTATTATTAATTGATATTATTATTTAATATTTAATATAGTTGTAAACATTTTGTTCATTGATATTACTAAATAATTTTTGATAATATGTAAAAAAAAATTGAAACTAGTTATTAAATTATAGTTTAATTAAATAAAAAGGTAAAATATAATAAATTTTTAAATTATAATATTTATAGTAATATTAATATAAAATTTGGAGATATTATGGATTTGTAAAATAAAAGTATTATTTTTTAAGGTATTTAAAATATAATTTATATATATAAAGGTTTTTAAATAGATGAGTTTAAGTTGTAAATCATAAAAAAATTTTTGATAATCAATAGTTTGATATTTGTTATATAGAAATAGATAAAGTCTGATAAAATTTATAGTAATTTGAAATTGTTTTTTAATTGAATAAAGAAAAATAAAATAGAGTAAATTAAAAAATTATTTATAGTTTGTTTTATAAAAAGAGTATAGTTAAATTTGGTAAGCCAATTTTTTGTTATACTAAGAAGTATTTTGAAGAGTATATTGGTTACATTAGTAGTGTG